ACTTCACTTAAGAACCCTTGGTCTAGTTAGAGACATTACAAAAGGAGCCCATAATAAGTTGGCTATCATTTTAATTAATGCCCATTCTGTACCACGACCTAGCACTCCTATCTTGAAGTACACAGACACCCAGAAAACATTGTGGTTTTTCCAAAACACACGTGAAAAAATGCTCACCTTCACTAATCATCAAAGAAATGCAAATCAAAACCACACTGAGACACCACCTAACTCCATCATTGATAACTCAAAAAACAACAGATACCGGAGAAGAGACAGAGAAAAGGGAATGTTCCTACAATGTTGGTGGGAGTGTAAACTAGTACAACCTTTGTGGAAAACAGTGTGGTGATTTCTAAAAGATCTAAAAATTGACCTTCCATATGACTCAGCAATCTCCCTTCTGGGAATATACACAGAGGAACTCAAATCAGTCTCCAAAAAAGATACCTGCACACACATGTTTATTACAGCACTATTCACAATAGCAAAAAACATGGAACCAACCATGCTGCCCATTGAAAGTGGACTAGATTAAAAATATGTGGTATGTATACACAATGGAATATTATGTAGTCATAAAGAAGGACAAAATTATAGACTTCATAGCAACTTGGATGGATTTAGAGTCTATCATACTCGGTGGTCTATCACAGAAACAAAGAACTGAGTACCACATGTTTTTACTCATAAGTGGATCCTGAACATTTATCATAATATTACAAGAAAGAGATTGGCTCTGGTTGGGTGCAGTGGCTCACGCCTATAATCCCAGTACTTTGGGAGGCCGAGGTGAGAGGATTGCCTGAGTCCATAGGTTTGAGACCAGCCTGGGCAACTTGGTGAGACCACATCTCTACAATAAATTTAAAAATTAGCTGGGCATTGCGGCACATACCTGTAGTTCCAGCTACTTGGAAGGTTGAGGTGGAAGGACCACCTGAACCCAGCAGGCCGAGGCTGTACTGGCTGTGAGCATGCCACTGCACTCCAGCCTGGGCAACAGAGTGAGACATCGACTCAAAAAAAGAAAGAAAGAAAGAAAGAAAGAAGCCGGGCTCGGTGGATCAGCCTATAATCCCGCGCCTTGGGAGGCTGAGGTGAGTGGATTGCCTGAGCCCACGGGTTCGAGACCCTTCTGGGCAACTTGGTGAGACCTCATCTCTACAATAAATAAAATTTTAAAAAATTAGCCGGGTGTGGTAGCGCGTGCCTGTAGTTCTAGCTACTTGGAAGGCTGAGGCAGAAGGATCGCTGGAGCCCAGCAGGTCAAGGCTGTGGTGTCTGGGAGTGGCCACTGCACTCCCGTCTGGGTGACAGAGTGAGACTCCAACTCAAAAAAAAAAAAAAAAAGAAAGAAAGAAAGGGATTGGTAGTAGTAGTGGGACATTACCAGGGGAGAGAGGGGGGCATAAAATATCAATAAGAGTACCTGATCCTAAACCAGTGGGGATCTGTGAGAGACCCAAACCTCATCTGTACAATGGCCACTTACGTACCTAATCCTAAATTGTACCCCATATATCTTTAAAATTAAAATTAAAAAAAAGGAAAACATTGTGACTTCGCACATTTCCTGAAACACTTCCTAAAAACCCCCATGTGAGATAGGCATAGGACCTTTATGATGAAGTGGAGGTCCTTTCAATGTGGTCAGTCAACTACTCCCACTTCTGCACCATACCAGGATAACTGCCCTGAAAAACCACTCATACCACTGGTCTTTGTCCATATTTTTCTCTTGCCTTGAAAGGCCTTTCCCTGATCCTAACTGCTGAACTTGGACTTGCTTATTAAACCCACTGCAAATGGTATTTCCTTCATGAAACCATAGCCGGAATTACAGGCATGCGCTACCATGCCCGGCTGATTTTTTGATTTATTGTAGAGATGAGGTCTTGCTGCCCAGGCGGGTCTCGAACCCGCGGGCTCAGGCAATCCACTCACCTTAGCCTCCCAAAGGCGCGAGATTACAGGCTGAGCCACCGAGCCCAGCTCCTGTCTATGTTCTTACTGCCATTCATATACTCCTTTATTATAGTGCTTATCATATCTGATCTTACCTATCTTAATAAATATTTATAAAACATACCAGTTTCTAATTAAAATAATTAGTAACAGCAAAGGATTCTTTTCTTTTTTTGAGTCAAAGTCTACTCTGTCACCTAGGCAGAGTGCAGTGGCACACTCCCGGCTACCGCAGCCTTGACCTACTGGGCTCAGGTCATCCTTCCGCTTCAGCCTTCCAAGTAGCTGGAACTATAGGTGTGCGCCACTATGCCTGGCTAATTGTTTGATTTATTGTAGAGATAAGGTCTCATCAAGTTGCTCAGGCTGGTCTTGAACCTGTGAACTCAGGCAATTCTCTTGTCTCAGCTTTCCAAAGTGCTGGGATTATAGGCGTGAGCCACCATGCCTGGCCGTATTCTGTATTATTTATAAGAAGCACCTCTAGCACAGAGTGACAAACATTGAAAATGAGAGCGACACAAAGAATACCAGCAAATAAAAATATGCAAGCAAACAGACAAATACAAAACAGTAGCAATAACCTCAATGTTACCAAATCTCAATTTAAGTTCAAAAGCATTTATAGCAAGATAGATGGTATGATGATAAAAGATTCATTCCACGATGACATTATAGTAGTCATATATAATTTGCATCAGATAAGCACAGCAGTACATCAAAATATTTCATAAATACAATAAAACTTGAATCAGATGCAATTTGAATTTAGAATATAAATATGCTTCATTTAAAATCTCATAGATCAATTTGACAAAAGAAATAAGAATTTGGTTAAGAATATCAACATTTATTGCTTAAGTGATTGATTGACTCCTTTCATATATCCAAGGAACCTTTACAATATTGATTATAACTTTAGTTTTGGTTTTTTTTTTTTTTTTTTTGAGTTGGAGTCTCACTCTGTCACCCAGACTGGAGTGCAGTGGCATGCTTCCGGCCACCGCAGCCTCAACCTGCTGGGCTCCGGCGATCCTTCTGTCTCAGCCGTCCAGGTAGCTGGAATTATAGACGCGCGCTACCACGCCCGGCTAATTTTTGATTTATTGTAGAGATGAGGTCTCGCCAA